CATCAAAACATATTTTTATCAGAATCAAAAATCCAATCGTAAGTCTCATGTCTAAGTACCAAAGAAACCACAAACTAAATCAGAACAGAAAAACAAACAAGTAAAAATATAAAATCACTACATTAAGATAAACCCACAAAAAAAAATGACAATAATTCAAACTACCCACTATAAGCTAATCTAGATGAACCCAAAAAGATCCAATCTTTCATACTGTTATTTCCATAAACGCACCTTCTGTAGGTAAATCTTCAATACCCAAAAACTAAAAACCCAACAAATGCAAAAATACACCGTAAGAAAAAGAGGGATCACAACAGATAAAACTGACCTGAAGCTGATAAATGAGAGTAGAGAAAGAAAGATAAAGAATATCTGTGGGAGGTGAACGTCTCTGTTTGTGGCCTGAAGAGGAGAAAGATTACGCAGAATGGATTAAAAGATTACGCAGATGACCCATGACAAGACATCTCAGATCTAATTGCTGAAAAACGAGATTTAGGGAAACTGGGAAAGAACAAAATAGGGTAAAAAAAAGTGGGAGAATATTTTGTAATGTTAACTGGGCCAACATTTTGGGGAAGCCCAAATCCCATTTGTCAAAATTGCCCAAATAATTTTGGGAAAGAATAATGAAAAATCCAATTGACCAATTAATTTTTTTTAACGGGTAATCGGTTCGGGGCGGGACACCATCGCTAAATACCATACTCGTCCCACCACGAATCGGGTCATTAAAATTAAAATCATATCCACCCCATTGCACCATCGATTCGATTTTTTTCGTCCCATTCGGCTCGCTTAACCATGATTTTCGATTTTAACAGTTCGAATTGTCATCCCTAAGAATATGTCATTCTTATTTTTAGCATGATCATTGAATAATTATAACAATTGGTATTAGAGTGACATGTTAAGATTTGAATCCTTAAAAAAAAAAGATATGTTTCTGGGTTCGTACTTCGCAGTAATCCCTTCACCAGTCTCCGCCCAAAAACCACTTCCTCAAATCCTATGGATCCTCAAATCCCTTATACAAAACAAGCATGAAACAACTGATTTCTCTTCCAAAGACCCATAATGGATCGACAACAGAGACATAATTTACTTTGTTATGGAGACATGGGACCCAACGGCAACTCCATAGCAACCTTGGACCACCACCACGACCACTACCATAGGATCTTCATAGATGATGAACCTGAAAATGATGCTTCACTCAGCACTACAGATTGTGGCTACTCAAGAGCCTTTGTGTTTCTTGATATAATATGGAACTTGACATTTGTTTTGGTGTCTTTCTATGTGCTTATGACCACCAATCAAGAACGACCCTCGACTCCCTCAAGTGTTTAGGTTTTTTGGGTACGCTTTGCACAGCCTTCTGCATGTGGGGATTGTGTGGGCTGAGTATCAAAGGAGTAGTCTTGATGATGTTGAGGTTCGAGAGTTTAATTTTCGTGGTATCTTTTCGTTTTCTTCGCTATGTCATAACAGCATTATCAAGAAGTTGGAATCTATTATTTGAATGCTGGCTTCTGGGTAACAAACAAGCAAAATGCCATCTTAAAAATCTAACTATGGGATCCCAAAGTGTTACTGAGTTTCTTCAAAATGTAAAAGCTCATGCTGACGAACTGGCCATCCTTGGAGCACCGATTGATGATGAAGATCTGGCAGAAAAAATTCTTGATGGACTAGGAGATGATTACAAAGAATTAGTGCGTGCTGTCCAAGCTCGAGACAATCCAATTTCATTTGATGAACTTCATGAAAAACTCTTAACATTCGAAGCATCCATTCATGATAATAAATCTGCTCCATCTTATTTTCCTGCCTCTGCGAACCCAACAAATCGAATCAATTCTAGGTCGCGCTCATCAGGAACCAATGGCTGGAAACCACCATCCAATTATAATGTCAACAACACGGGCAGGCGACCATCGCCCACTTCAGATGCTCATCCCTTCCCAGCAAACACAACTGGAACAAATCTTGGTACTAGGCCTTCTCCACGGCCTTATCTTGGCTACTGTCAAATATGTGGAATTCAGGGACACAGTGCTAAACGATGTCCTTCCTTTCGCTTAGTCCCAGTTCATTAAACTAGCAACACAAATAAAGTAGGGCCTTCATTATCACCATGGCAACCAAAAGCACACTTTGCTGCCAACAACACTCCAGCATGGCTTCTGGACAGTGGTGTTTCCCACCATATTACTTCCGACTTGAGCAACTTATCTCTTCACACTCCTTACACAGGTTCTGATGAAATTATGATTGGCGATGGCACAGCTCTTCCCATTACTCATACTGGTTTCACATCCCTCAAAACTCTTACTTTTCAATTTTCATTAGACAATGTTTTATGTGTACCTAGCATGAAAAAAACTTGATATCTATCTCACA